ATCGAATAGTGAGGCTTAGATTGTACGTTACCGGTCAAATTTTTGAAAAAATAAAATTTTTAAATGTTAGTATTTGTTCAGAGTCTTATGAGAAAGTCAGACGTTTGCAGTATTTCTCGGATTATACTATCAGTCATGGATTAGATGTAGTAAAAAAAAACTAAAAATTAGATTTTTCGAAATATTCAGGTTTCTTTTTTTGTAATAAAATATATCAGTTACCGAGATATTTATTGAGAAATTAATATTTAAAAATCCCAAAAAATTCTCAAGTAACCTACATTAAAATGGAATCAAAACATTTGGCAACATTTCGTAGCGCGCGAGCTTCAGACCATTTAATAAATTCAAACTAATTTATTTATTTACACTGACTGCAAAAACTTAAACGTGTTTAAGGTTATATTGTGCAAATGAAAATGTAAACAGCCGAAGTACAGCGTTGCCAAATCATGGACAGGTTACTAGCAGTTGATTTGAAAGAGTCAAATTAATTTTTGTATTTAACTATTTTTTTTTTTATTTTCAAAATTTCAACGACTAATGCCTCATATACTATTTATTATTTAATTTTAGGAATTTTTATGGGTTTCTTTTTTTAATTTATCGTATATTGACTACTACAATTGTTTTGACTCAAGTGGAGCGAAAGGATTTCCTTAAGATAAAGAAGAAATCAGCATAATCATTTAAAGAATATTTATCACGGAATTACTAAACTTGTTATTTCTTTTCAATAAGAAGTAATCGATAAAATAACGATTAGTTAAATACAAAATATCAATCCTAAACAACATAATATTTATGAATCAAGAAGCAGTCAATTAACATTTGATTCATTTTAACTCATTTTTCTATAAGTTTCTGTAAGCCATCTGCTTCTATTCGATAATAATGCCATTTCTCTTTTTTTGTAATGTCAATCACACCTCTACGCTTATAAAATTCAGCAGCAGGGTTCCAATTCAAAACTATAAAATCGAGTCGACAGCAGCTACTTTCGGAAGCTTCCTATAAGTTGATTAATATTTATAAATTTTTTTATTAAAAAGAAATTATGATTAAAATATAACAATTACCTTTGCTACTGCATCAAATAATAAACTGCCAATATGCATTTTTTGATGAGATGGCTTAACATAAAGTTCATCTAAAAACATTGATTTACCACGCCAAGTAGAAAAAGTGTAATAATAAATTGCATATCCAACGATTTGATTTTCAACCTCAGCAACAAAAGAATGAAATAATGGTTGCTCTCCAAAAGCGTTTTTTTCTAAATCTGTTAAAAAATTAACTTTTTTTTATTATTATTTCTTAGGTAAAGCTTATTTTTGTTGATTACACATGATTATATATCTAATTATCTATGTTGTAATGTAGTACTATCAATGCTATCATTATCTCATCTTAAATTATGAAGAGATAATAATCTTAATAAATTTTTTAATACTTGTAGAAAACTATAAAAAGATTAAAGTTTGAAAATTTTAAATTTTATTTAAAAAAGAAAAAACTATTCAAATTTCAATAAAATTTGAAGAATAAGATAAAATATTGTGCAAACATTTCAGATAAATGAAGAAGAATAAAATAATTTTTGAGCTTAGCTGAGTTTTTACCTCATACTAAACAGTAAAAATTTTATTCTAAAAAAAGATTTATGCTTATGATTTTTTTTTATCACAAGCAGGTTAGAATACAAAAAAAGGTACAATTTTTGACATTACCTTCAGCATCAAGCTTTGGACCATCGGGCATTTCCTCAAAGTCCGCTAATTCCTGGAAATAAATGAGTTAACAAAGTTATAAAACTTATTTTCTTTTTGAAAAATACCTGAACAAGATTTCTGAGAGCGACACAATCTTCTCGCTGTAACTTACGTATTTCTAATTTATCCATTTTCGGGATTTATCAATTACAATTTTCTAATGAAATTAATATTTTATTACGGGTATATTCCGACATTCCTTGCGACCACTGTAGAAAATATTTTATGACACCGATCTTTTCGAGCTATACTGATTACACTATTTATTAGGTATAAATTATACTTATGTACAACAAATTTAGTATAGTCACATAAAAAAAAAAGCAACAAGAGTCGAAAAATACAGCCCTAATTGAGGATGATAATTGAACATTGGCTTAAGTTGAAGTGTTTAGATCATCGAATTAAATGTGACGCTAGCAGTCACAAAGTTCGAAATAAGTCGCTCTTTTGCGAGTTATTCACCAGCAGACACCATTTTTTCTCGATCTTCAAAAAAGGATTAAATAAAAAAATTTTTAATTAAATTTTTAGCAATGAAAATTTCTAAAAACTTGAAATTTTAAATTTCTCAAATAATCCTTAAAAAATAAGCAATCAATTATTTTTTAAGTCTTTTGCTATGAAAATATTTCACACAAACTCAACAGTGTAGATAAATATTGTATTAATCATCAAAGTTTATGGGTTTATAAGTTAAAATTCTAAAATCATCTATTTATCAGTTGAAAACCCTTTATCAACAATAAATAGAAATTGAATATTCTTTTTCTATTTGAATTTCAATACAAAAAATGACACACTCATATAAAACTATTTAAATTAGTTTTTTTTCATGTATTTAGTTCTTAGTTATGATGTTACATTAAAATTTGTTTTATTAAATTATTGTCAAAAAATACAAAAATGACATATTTTCTCATAAAAATTTTCAGCGGAATGTAAATCCATAGAAAAATTTTTCTTAATAAAACTCACTTTAAATTTATTTACAATCAATGAGATAAAAAATTATTAATGACTTTATAGATGACATGGAAGAATTGAAAAAGATTTATGATTATTTACTGATGATGTTAGATTTTTAAATCAAGAAAATTTAATGCATGATTAAAAAATTTATAGTTCATCTTTATCATTTAAATCAACATCACTTAGATCAATTTCTTCTTCTTGCGGTGGCTGACCGTCTTTACCATCCCATGCTTCAGTCTCATATATTTTTGGAAGTTCAGCGCCTTTCAATGGAGCAGTACCTCCTCTACCATAGCTGAGATCCCTCAAAAATGAGTTGATACCATCTTCTGAGAAACTACCTTTCATTAATGAATACTTCATTTTTTTGGCATTGACAACAGCTAAAGCTGGATATCCAAATCCACCAATTTCGAGAGCTTCTTCAAGATCTGGCTGCGCTCCAGCTTCTGCCCATACCCATCTGAAATAAATTAAATTTAATTACAATTTCTTCACATACTTATAAAATTGAATATTTTTCTACTTACCCCCACATTTTCTTCTTGTATTTTTCACCTAAAACTTTGAATATTTCCAAGTATTCATTTCTGCATTGAGATTGACAATCGAGAATATGAGGCAGCACTGAAATAACACACAATGGTTTGTCATCACATGCTTCTTTCATTGACTTTTCACCAGTTACTTGAACTATTTCTGGAGCTGGAATATTTTCTGACAGCTTATCAAGAGCCCAATTGACAATGTCACTTGTTGTACGACCACCGTCATATTCAGAAACAGAATCTGAATCTTTTTTGCCGGGAGCAAAGAATTTAATTGTTGGGTATCCTCTGATTTCATATTGGCTGCCTTTTACTGTGTTAACAGTTGCATCCAGAGCACCTAATTTTACTTTTCCTTTCAACTCAGTAGCAGCTTTAGCCCAAATTGGAGCAAGATTCTTACAATGTCCACACCAGGGTGCATAAAATTCGACTAACCACATATCTTCAGAGTTCATAACTAATTTATCGAAGTTATCATCCGTTAGCTCAACCACATCTTTAGAATCTGAGGACTAATAGAAAAATTTTTAATTATTATTAATAAATTACTTTTTTACAAATTAAAAATTATACTTTTTTACTTAAATATTTACTTTCGAATCTGGACCACTTGACTTTCCACCTAATGCTTCTTTAGCTTTTTTACTTGCAACTCTTAAAGCTTCAGTTACAAGCCCATCAGCCGTTCGCGCACCATTATAACTGTCAGGTTTCTTTTTATTGACACCAAATATTTTAATTGTGGGGAAACCTTCAATTCCAAATCTAGATCCAAATGATTTATGCTCATCTACATCTACGGCTCCAACTTTTATAATTCCCTAATAAATACCAATTGTGTAAATATAAACATATGAAAGCGATTCAAATAAATTCATTAAAATCACATAATTTATACAATACCTTAAGTGCTGTGGCGGCTTTTTCATATTCAGGTTTTAAACTTTTACAGTGACCACACCATGGCGCATAGAATTCAACCACCCATATATGATCACTATTTGTTACTAGCTTATCAAAATTACTGGGTGTTAATTCAATAACGTCTGACGTGGATGAGTACATACAATTAGCACTCGCAATTAACAGCAAGAGACCTGAAAAATTTCGTCGTGTAAAAATTATGATCATTGTATCAACAAAAGTAGAAAATAAATAAAAAATTTTAAGATGTTTTTCTTTCTCAAAACCGGCTTCATATAAAGTAAATAATGTATTAATAAATAATTGTAAATAATTACCTATTAATGCTCGCATGATGGTTTTGTCGGTAAGATCCTTATAGAAAAAATTTCAAGTTGGAACAATTCAACTAACTATCTTTCCTTATAAAAACGAAATGTCTAACTTATAAACAAGACCGTGAATATATTCCACCGCGTTAACTCTTCTAAAAATTTTCGTGGATTATTTTGATTGGTCCACGCAGATCAATGACTTCGTTGTGAGTGTGACAAATGTAATTCTTTGTGCGTGGGTGTCAATCCGTGGGTGTCAATCCAAACATTTTTCACCGGATATAGTAAATAATAACTATTTTTCGTATCTTAAGCCAATCAAGAGCGACATTGTTATTTAGCTTTTATTTATTGGTTCGAAACTAATTATCTAACCTTTTTTTTTTTAAATAAAATACACCAAAAATCAAACATTGATGTTACTGAAAACTCTTCTTTATCGACTGTGATTTGTTTGACATATATAATATATGATATGTTTTCAAGTAAAATAAAATTAATTCCAATTCAATGAATATAACTTCATATTTATGGATATATTTGAATAATACTTTTTTAATATAAAATAGTAATAAATTAAAATCATTTTTGTCTCGATCTCACGAAACTTTGATATTTTTTAATTTTTTTTAGTTTCGATGTTCTTAGTCGCATACAGATGACACTGTCTGTCGATAAAGCGCTAATTTTAAAATGTTAACCGATTTCCGTTTTTTTTTTTTTTTTCCTATTAGTTTGAAAAAAAAAAAATGTTTTCACTAAGAATTATTCAGATGAATTGTATAAGTTAAAAACATCTCAGAAATAATTTAATCGAATTTTGTTAAGATTGATTATATCCGAATATTGATTTCATTGCAACATTCTATCAAATAATACTGAATTAAGTAGTTTGTTTTTTATTTTATTCAACAAACAAATTATTTCTAAAAAAAATATTTCAAGAAATTACATTCAGGATAAAATTATTATTGCCAGTTTATTTATATATATGAAATATATAGATATTAGGGTGTGCCAAAATGTAACTTCCTTGATGGACCTCTTAAAATTGGAATCTTGAGTTCCGCTTTTAACAGGAGTTGTGTTTGGGCATTTCCTGACATATTTTGAGTGTAAAGGATTCATTTGATTTTTATAGAATTTTTTATCAGGAGTTTTGTTCGGCCATTTTTGCTGGAATTTAAAAATTTCAAAATTTAGCCGAACAAAACTCC